AACTCCTACCTATCTCCTCCCCCTCCCCCTTCCAACTCCACACCAGTCACTCAGGCCTTTTCATGGCTACCTCAGCTGTTACTTCCTCAGAGGGGCCTTCCTCGAGCATGTGTCAACCAGCTGCCCACTCCTTTGTCTTCACAACATCTATTATTCGTTGAAATAACATAATTTATTTACTTACTTGTGGATTGCTCTCCCCCCAATCTTTCCACATCTGGAAGGCAGGGACCATGCATTTCTTATTCACTGCTGTATCCCCCGTACCAAGAACAATGCATTTGTGCTAAATAAGTGTTGAATTAATAAATAAATTCCTGCCCTGGCTGGTGTGGTTCAGTTGGTTGGGGCGTCGTCCTGTGCACCTGAAGGTTGCAGGTTCGATTCTCAGTCAAAGCATATACCTAGGTTGCAGGTTTGAATCCCAGTTGGTCGGAGTACATATGGGAGGCAACTGATTGATGTATGTCTCTCACATCGATGTTTCTCTCTCTCTCACCCTCCCCCATCCCTAAAAAAATAAAAATACATGATTTCTAATTAACTAGTAAAATTTAGTGCTAGAAGGGACCATTTATTTTTAGTTTACCACAGTCCCCACCACTCCCTCTTATCTCCCTCACCCTGAGAATGTCAGGAGTCTCGAATCATCTCACTCTGCTATTTTTCTTATGGGAGAAAATTCTTATCTGTGTCCATATCACTATCTACAGGCAAAAAATGAGGATGGACACAGTCCATACCACTCAAATCTGATGCCTGCCTAACCCCTGTGGGCCAGTGACCTTCCAACTCATTCTTTTTTTATGCTGCTGAAAACCAGATCTAAAGAATTCCAGCCAGACCTCTCCTGTGCTTCAAACCTATCTCACAGCCCTAGCCGTGTGGCTCAGTAGTTAGAGTGTTCGCCCAGGCACTGAAGGGTTAAGGGTTCAGTTCCCAGTCAAGGACATGTACCTGGGTTGCAGGTTTGATCCCTGGCCTGGTTGGGTGTGAACAGGAGGCAACCAATCGATGTGTCTCTCTCACATCAATCTCTGTCTCTCTGCCAACCCCCCTCCCCCTCCCCCCCATCCTTTCCTTCCTCTCTCTAAAAAAAAAAAAAAAAAAAAGCAATGGAAAAATGTCTTTATGTGAGGATTAACAAAACAAACAAATAAACCTGTCTACAGCTGCTCCTGGATGTTCCCCCATAAGTCCCACAGGCACCCAGTTCATCTTCCTAAAACCTAGTGCCCACCATGATCTATAAAACTACCCTTCCCCTATATCACCATATTGGTGATGACCCTCCCCCACCAAGTCTCATAAGCCCAAAGCCTGAGGACTCAGTGGTGAACAGTAGGAGCTAAGTCCCCATCCAGGGACTTAAGTTCTAGGCAGAGACCCAGAGATGTAAAGGGCTAACTGCAGAGTGACATGAGTCTAGTTAGGGGAAAACAAGAGGCTGTGGGAACCCTGAGAGAGCTGGCGGACAAAGAAGGCTCACAGGAGAGGAAGGGTTTTTAAATTGAGACCTGAAAGTTGAATGAGAGCCAGGCAGGAGGGTATGTAGAGGCCACGGGGGAGAGGAGGGGATGTGAAACCACCGAGGAACCCAAAGAGGTGGTACGCGTGTACGTGTGTGACTGAATATGGGTGTATGTGCATGTGTGCATGCATGTGGGTGTGTATGAGTGAAATGGATGTGTGTATGAGTGAATATGGGTGTGTGTGTGCATATGCATGTACATGCTTTGGGGAGGGAGTGCATAATGAATATACAGTCCAGCAGGTCAGTAAGTCACCAGGGGCTTAAAAGCACATTACGGAGTTGGGCTTGACCCTAAAGATAATAGGGAATTATTAAAGGTTTCTTTCTTTCCTGTTTTGTTTTTTATTTTATTTATTTTATTCCTCACCTGAGGATATTCTTGCATTACTTTTTAGTTAGAGTGAAAGGGAAGGAAGGAGAGAGTAAGAGAGAAAGAGAGACACCAACATGAAAGAGACACATCAATTGGTTGCCTCCCACACAACCCCGACCAGGACTAGAGATTGAACCTGCAACCCACGTACGTGCCCTTGACCAGAAATCGAACCCGAGACTCTTTGGTTCTCAGCCAGCACTCTAACCGCGGAGCCAAACTGGCCAGGGCCTGTTTTGTTTCTTTAAAAAATCATAACCCAAATTCAAACTTTACAAAGGGCATATAAAAAACATCTCTTCCACTTCCAAATTCCTAGTCTCACTTCCCAGAAGCAATCACTACTAAAAATTTCATGGGTTTCCTTCTAGAAACCTTCTCTTTATGACTAACCCATAGATGTGAATCTTTCCTTTTCCTTGGCTATATGCATGGGATCTCACTGGCCCTGCTGTCCCCTGGCTCTTTCACTTATTTTATTTTGGGCATCTTTCCTCATCATTCCACATATTCTGACAGCTATGAGGGGTCCCAGTGGTTGTCCTGCATTTCCTGAACCCACTTCTTGGTTTTCTTCTCATCACCAGCCTCGTGCACCCTCCAGGCACCATCAGTCAGTCTTCAAGACCATCCCTGGAAGTGGGCATACTGGCCCAAATGTTATGCGCCCTGGAAACTTTGATAGGAATTGATAAATGCCCTTCCAAAAAGATTACAGTCAATTTACTTCCCCAGCAAGAGCCAGGGGAAGTAAATTGTATGGAATGGCATGGTTATAACAACATCTTAAAAGATCATTCAGTCATTCATTCAACAAATATTTATTGGGAGCTACTAGCTTACTACTTGCTAGTCATTGTTCTTGACCCTGAGGATACATCGTAAACACAACAAACTCCCCCTCCCCCCACTCCTGGAGCTGAGCAGGGCAAGGGAGATGCAAAGCTCCAGCTAGTGTTGGGGAAGAGGTGGTTTTATACAGTATGGGTCGTGGAGCAGACCATGCAGATACCAGGTAGAAAAGCATTCCAGGCAGAGGAGACAGCCAGTGCAAAGGCCCCAGGGCAGGGGGTGTTCGAGGATCAGCCAGGCAGCCATTATGGCCAAAGCAACATAATCAAAGGAGAGGTACTGGAGCCAGAAAATGCAGAGTCTCATGGGCCTTTCATTGTAAGGAGGTTACTTTTACTTTGCATGAGATGGGGAGACACTTGCATGGTTCTGAGCATAGGAGGGCCATGATCTGCCTTGGGTCCTATTAAGATCCCTCTGGCTGCTGTGTTGAGAATGAGCTGTTTGGGGTGAAGGAAAAAGTGGGGATGATCCAGATAGCACGGGTTAAGCTCAGGGTGGTGGCAGATTCTGGATATACATTAAAGGTAGATCCATTACGTTTTGCTGATGGATGGGATGTGGACTGTGAGACAAAGTTAAGGGTGACTCTAGGGATTTTGGCCTGAGCAGTAGCGAGGTGGCTTTGGAGATGAGGACAGAAAGAGCAGGTTTTGGGCTCACTTTGGTTGCTGAGTGTGTAATGGAACAGAGTTGCTCACAAACCCAGCTGCTTGCCAGATCCTCCCCCTGGCTGTCCCCCAGGTACCACACATTTGGCTTGTCCAAAACTAAACTCCTCCTTCCCCCAGTCTCCTGCCCAGCACCATTGCCTGGCAACCCACCCACCCCAGCCAGAAGCCTGCAGTCCACCCCCACCATCACCCCCTACAGCTTGCTGATTCCTGTCAGTTTTCCCTCAGAGCTCTCAATCCTGCCGACTGCCATTCCCTAGGACGTCTCCTGTACCTCTCATCTAGACCATTGCAGCTGCTCAGGGTCCACTTCAGAGAAGGGGCTGGGCAAATGAATGAGATAAATGAGAGGCTGAATGAATGATTGACAGGCCTCCTGGTAGGTCTTAGCCAGCCCCTCCCCTCCAGCCCAGCCTCCACCATTCCAGAGCAATCTTTGAAAACACACATGTCGGCCTATGTCCCTTCTTCGACCATAAACTATTCACAGCTCCCCAGGGCCTACACAGACATAACTGGTGGCCTACAGAAATATATTTTTTAGTCCCCATAGTATTGTTGTTGTTTTTTAATCTTGAATTAATTAGGATATTTTACATTAAAGTGCTGGATTTCCCACTTCTCACTGGTATCACCAGGATGCATTTCTCCAGAGCAGTACTTGGCTGGTGAAGTAGTTTTCCCTCCTTAGACCGGGCATGTGCTCTCCAGTTTGCTGTAGTCCTCACCACTCCCTATTGTTTTATACTTAGCCTGCTTCCCTCACTTAAATTACTACCTTGCCCATGCCCTGGCCGGTTTGGCTCAGCGGTTAGAGCGTCGGCCTGCGGACCAGAGAGGCCCAGGTTTGATTCCCGCTAAGGGCACGTACCTTGGTTGCAGTTTGTCCCCGGCCCCAGTTGGGGTCCTGTGGGTGGTAACCACTTGATGTGTCTCTCTCACATTAATGTTTCTCTCTCTCTCTCCCTCCCTCTCTCCTTCCCGCTCTATCTGAAGATAAATGAAAAGTGTCCTCAGAAAAAAAAAAATTACTACCGGGCCCCAATGGCATCAAAGTTTGTGATCCGTGGGCTAGAGGACAAAGGCATACTTTCTAGGTAGCATGTTGCTTAGGGTAGGCTGACAAGGGAGGGGTGATGGTAAAGGAAGTTGAAAGTTAGACTGGTAAAATTGTGAAGGGCCTTGAATGCCATTTTAGGAAATCAGGGTCACTGGAGGCAATAAAGCAGGGGAGTGATGTGCATGGGTTAGTGTTTTTAACCCAGGCCCTCTGGACATGAGGGGACTAGATGGGGGCATAGAATCTGGTGAGGAGGCCTGGCTACTAGGAGGAAGATGAGAGACAGGAGGCCCACATGGAGGCTCCTCTCCGCTGGGTCTCCCCTGAGTCTGAGTCTGCTCTCTCTGTTTCAGAACCAGACAGCAGCCTGGGGCTGAAGCATGGTCAGGAGGGCAGTTGGGCAGTGCTGAAGAACCAGCCTGGCTCCAGTGGCTTCAAAAGGACTCCAGCCCTCCTGGACCCCAGCCCACAGCCCTCTGCTACCCACAGGATGGGAGCCTGGGGGCTGGGAGCCCGGCCATGAGGGATTACTGCCCCTCCCCACTACGGGCCAATCTTATACCCCCCAGGCACACCCCTGCCCAAAGCCCAGGCATGGACTCCAGACACAGCAGCCCCAGTGGGGCTGGGGAAGGGGCCTCCTGCTCTGAGGGTCCTGGTGGGAGCTTGGCCTGCCCATCCCTGACCTTCATCCCTCTCCAGGAGGCAGCCACCAAAGAGAAAGTGGGAGAACATGGAGCCCTGATCTCAGGGACACCAGAAGTCATCTTCTCTGGGAAGCCAGAGCATGTGTCCTCAGCCAAAATGGATCCATCATCCTTGGAGGACAGAAATCCTATGTTCTTGGAGAAGATGGACTCCAAGTCTTCAAAGCAGGCAGATTCTACTTCCATAGAAAAGGAAGATGCTGGGTCCTTGAGAAAGGCAGATCCCACATTCATAGGAAAGACAGAGCCTGCAGTCTTGGGAAAGGGGAATCCCGTAGCTTCTGGAAGGATGGATTCTGGGACCCCAAGAAAGAAGGATCCTGAATCCTTGGGAAAGGTAGATGCTGTATGCTCCAGCAACGTGCATACAGTGTCCCCAAGGAAGGAGGATCCTATATCCTTAGCCAAAATGGATCCTGCATGCCCAAGTCAGGAAGAGTCCAAGTATTCAGGACAAAAGTTTCTTGTGTCCTCAGAGGAAGTGGATTCTGCATCTGAGGGCAAGGTAGATCTTGTGTCCATGGGAAAAAGAGATCCTGGGCCCTCAGGAAAGGCAGATCCCTGGTCCTTGGAAAACAATAATTCTGCATCTCCAAAAAAGACAGATCCTGAGTCCTTGGGAATGCTGACTCCAGGGTCATCAGGCAAAATCGAGCCTATATCCCATGGAACAGTGGCTCTGGAGTTGACAGGAAGGGGTCAACTCTTGGAGATGACAGATACTTTAACTATAGGAAATGCAGAAACTATGTCCTCTGCAAAAGAGGACCCTCAGTTCCCGGGAATGATGGATCCTGCCTCTTTGGGAAAGAATCTCATGTCTGTGAGAATGACAAAAACCGGGTCTGCTGGACAGGTGGATACTGGGTCTTTAAGCAAGGTGGGTCCAGTTTCTTTGGGAAAGGTGGATCCTGTGTCCTCAGGAAAGCCAGAGCCCTTGTCTCCTGGGCAGACTGAACTGACATCTGTGGGAAACACAGAAACTATGTCCTTAGAAAAGGAGGACCCAGTGTCTTCCAGAAAGGTGGAGCCCATTATTTCTGTGGGAAATATAAAAACATCATCTTTTGGAAAAGTGAATCCTGAATCTTCAGGAAAGGTACACCCTGTGGCCTCAGTTCCAGGGGATCCCAAGTTCTTGGGAACAGCAGAACCCACCTCCTCTGTAAAAGCTGAGGCAGTGACTCAGAGAAAAGTAGCTCCACTGTCCTCAGAGAAAGCAAGTCCGGTGATCTCTGGAAAGGTGGGTCCCACAGCCTCAGGGAAGGCTGATCCCCCCACCTGGGGAAAGGTAGACCCTGTGAGCAAAGGGAAGGCAGAAACTGTGTCTTCTGGAGAAGCAGACTCCCTATCTTCAGAAAAGGTGGCCCCCACAACTCTAGGAAAAATAGTCCTGGCACCCTCGGGAAAAGTAGAAGCTGTCCCAGAGGGAAAGATGGATCCTCTGCCTCCAGAGAAGGGGAATACTGTGAATTCCACAAAGGTGGACCCCAGGGCCTTAGGGAAAGCAGAACCCAAGTCCCAGGGCAAAGCAGAAACAAAGACCCCTGAGCACGAGGATCCCACTTCATCAGGAAAAGCAGAAGCTGCATCTCTGCAGAAGGAGAAGCCATTGGCCTTGGAGAAGAGGGATCCCAGATCCTCAGGAAAAGTAGATCCTGTTGCTTCTGGGAAGGTGGAGCCTATGGCCCTGGGGAAGAGCGACTCTGTGCCACCTCTGGGAAAAGCAGGGTCCTCATCCTTGGGAAATGTGGCCCCCCTGACTCTGGAACAGACTGAAGCCTCCTCCGGACCCAGGCGATCAGATGGTAAAGCCTGTGGCTCAGCCTCTTCTCTCTTGGGTGCCGGGAGGGGCGAGGGCCGCGGGGAGCCAATGCCAGGGCCTACATTCAGCACCGAGGCTGGCAGCCTGGGCCAGAAAGACCCGGTAGCCAATGGGACCCAGGTAAGCCCCGGCCAAGAGGCCGATGCACCCCTGCCTGGGCCGCGGACTCGTGATAACTTCACTAAGGCGCCGTCATGGGATGCGAGCGCCCCGCCACCGCGCGAGGACGCGGGCACGCAGGCGGGCGCGCAAGCCTGTGTGTCGGTAGCTGTAAGCCCCATGTCTCCGCAGGACGGCGCGGGCAGCCCGGCCTTCAGCTTCCAGGCGGCGCCGCGCGCGCCCAGCCCGGCGCCCAGGCCGCCCTCTCGTCGGGACGCGGGCCTGCAGGTGTCGCTGGGGGCCGCTGAGATGCGCTCTGTGGCCACTGGACCCATGACACCGCAGGCCGCCGTACAGCCTCCCGCGCCACACGCCTTCCCCGAGGTGCGGGTGCAGCCCGGCTCGGCGCTGGCTGCCGCCGTGGCGCCCCCGGAGGCGGCCGAGCCCGTGCGCGACGTGAGCTGGGACGAAAAGGGCATGACCTGGGAGGTGTACGGCGCAGCCATGGAGGTGGAGGTGCTGGGCATGGCCATCCAAAAACATCTGGAGCGACAGATCGAAGAGCACGGCCGCCAAGGGGCACCCGCGCTGCCCCCCACTGCCCGCCCCGGCCCCGGCCGTGCAGGTTCCGTGCGTGCTGCGCCCCCCGAGGGTGCCGCCAAGCGCCCTCCTGGCCTCTTCCGCGCCCTGCTGCAGAGCGTGCGCCGGCCGCGGTGCTGCTCCCGGGCCGGACCCACGGCCGAGTGATTTGACCCCCTTTTGTACGCCCGGGTTTCCAACCTTCTCAGGCTCCCTTCTTGTCTCCAGATCCCTAGAAGGGATCCTCTCAATACGCGACAGGCCTCCATGGTATGGGCAGCCTCTAGGGCCTTCTCATCTTCTTTTCACCTCTTCCCTCCCATACAAATGAACCTGCTCTACCCAGCTCCTTCCCTGTCATGAGTCCCCAGAGCCTAGACCTGACACCCTACGGTCCCCTCGCAGCTTTCAGCTCCACTCCCTCTGGGTCACACTGGGCAACCTCAGGGACCTGCTGGGTACCCCCAGCCCTGAGAGCCATGGTAGGCTCCTGAGATGTCCAGAGTGGTGGGCTGCCAGTGGCAGCCAGGTCCCCAGAATGGGAGAGACTTTGTGCAAAAGCTTCAAGTGTGCAAGGATTGGTGTGTGAGGCCCCAGTGTGTGCAAGGCTCTGAATGTGAGGCCCTAGGAGTGTGAATTTGTGTCCTACCCATGGGCTGCCCCTATGGCCCAGGCATCTCTTGCATGCTGGTAGTCATCCCCAATCCCTGTCTCCCCCTCACCTGATCCAACCCCAGCCCTATGTCCACCCTCACAGGACACTTCTTTTCAATCCCCAGAGGGGGAAGGCAGCTGCAGGAGTGCCCTGGCACTGCAGTTGAAAGGAGAGTCATAGAAAGGTCAGAGATTCTCAGACAGGTCTCTGGATAACAGAGGCTACTGAAGGTCTTGGGCCACAGGCAGACTGGGTGACAGCTGGTCTTGGGTATTGGAGGCAGAACAGAGAGCTCATTCTACAACCACAGTCGTCCTATAAAGTCCTCCCTCTTCAGCTCCTCGTGCTCCCTGTGCTGTGAGCCCCAAAAGTCCCTGTAGACCACTCAGTACCCCTGTCCCCACCCCTCCAGCCATGGTTTTTGGCTACAAACTGTCACAATATACATTGGTAATAAAATTTTTCCCCAACTCTCATCAGCTGTGATTGGCTACAAGCAGAAGGTAGCAGAGCAACACAATATATTATTATGGTCAGGGACAATGCTAGGTGTAGTTAAGGGGAGACAAGGTCTCTTCCGAGGCAGACCAGAAGAGTGGGGGCCCACGTAGGGCTCTGTGGCAGGGCCCCATCACAGGTCCGTGGTATCCAGGCCAGCGTTGGTGAAGGACAGCGCCTGCTGCTGCCCACCTGTGTCCGCCTTCCTTCCTGACAGCACCACGCTCAGGGGCTCTGCATGTGGCCTCATCGGACTGTGCAGGGGCTCCTTCTGTAGGGGGACGAAGGAGAAGTGTGAAGGGCAGGGGCAAGATGGGGTGATATCTCCAAGCCCTAAGGAAGTGGGTGGGCCTCCAAGCCCACACAACCAGATGGCTCCTTGGCTGGAGTCCCACCCTGCTCCTCTTGGGGTCTCAGTTCTCTGGCTGTGTACTGGAGGTGACAATGGCCACTGGAGGTATAGATGGGCTCAAGTGAAGGGGTGAACACGGGGGGACTATTCTGGCCTTTGCCCCATCTACAGACACAGCAGCACTTTGGTGTTCTGCCCAGTCCTGAATAATGCCAGGCCCTGGATCCTGCACCAAGAAGCCAGTCCAGCACATTTCCTGCCACCTGCACCCCACAGCAGGCACCATGCTGGGGGCACAGTCTGTCCATTACCTGAAGTACCCATAGGAATCCCCTGAGGGAGGAATTATGTGCCCCATTTTGCAGATGTGGAAACTGAAGCTTGGAGGGCTTTCATGGCTAGGGAGGGGCAGAGCAGGATTTGTGCCCCTAGTCTTGCTGGCTCTAAAGTTTGTCCACAGCACAACACTGTCTCTGGTTCAATCTGACATTTTCTGCAGGCCTCAGAGCAAGATGTTGCAACAAAGTTTCACCCTGTTCATTGTGGTGCACACTCACACATTTCCCTGTCTTTTCTTTCCCCTCCCCAAGTGACATGCTGCAAACACACACACACAAACACACACAATCACACACACTTCACAAGTGAACCCTTCAGTGGACCAGCCTGCCCTCAGGTTCAGCTACTCCACAGCAGAGACACCACAGGGCAGATCCCCACCACCAGTACTGTCCCTAGGTCACGCCAAGGGCTTTTTCAGATTAGGGCTGTTTGGGTCCCTGGTAAACAGTGGAACATCTGAGGGGCCCCAGGTCAGGCTAAACATTACTGTGCTCCCTGGAGCCCTTGTCACCTACCTCCCACAGGAGGTGTTGGCACGATGCAGCCTGGGAAAATGCTACCTGGCCCTGGAGACAGAAGACCTGAGTTCTAGTCTGCACTCGCCTTGCAAGCTTTCTGATCTTGGGCAAGTCAGCACCCCTCCCTGGCCTCAGTTGCTTTAAAAGGTAGGATTGAATGACCCCTCAGGTTTCTCATACCTCTACACGAACACAGAGGTCTTGGGGGAGTCAGGGCACCAGGAATCTGAGGGAAACGGCCTTCCACTCTGTTACCCACTCAGCCAAGGGAGAACAGGGACAGCCAGTTCCCAAGAAGGCTTCATGGCCTCCTGGGCCTGCCTACTGCTACAGGAGAGGGGTGGGACCTCGGACAGCTTCCGGAAATATAATGACCTCCTGCCATCCCTGGACAGTCTTAGCTTCTCCTGGCTTTGAAGGCTCTCAGTGACCTGGCCCCCTCCCTCTCCAGATTATTCAGAGATCTCTACCTTTCCCAGCCCACAGGTCCAACCCCATTGCTGAGGCCCCTGGGGCCCCTTCAGTCCCTTCTGGGGTTCATCCTTGGCCTCAACTGGGAGCCACCTGTCTGGCCACCAGCTCTGGCAGGCAAGACTGTTTTCTTCTGCCTCAGTTACCCCCAAACATGTTCATTGGAGTTTCCGACTCAAACTGTCTTCATCCAGAGATGAGCTGTTTACCAGAGACCTCCCCCATTGCCCGGTGGCCTGGATTGCCATCTATGACCCCCATCCTTGGGGTCCCATTTGGAGGCCTCCATGTTACAGCCAGGATCCTATGCAACATTCTGGTATTGTAGTGCCCACGAGAGGCTTTGGTTGACCAAGTCCTTCCATGTAAGGCATCATCAAAGAAAATTAAGTACTGAAGGAAGAATGGGGACCCTCAGAGGGCATGGCATAGCTGAGGGTAGGACCCAGAGGGCAGTGGATACATAACTTCCCAGACATACACACACAGAACTGCAGACTATTAAAGCTCAGTGGGCCTTTGAGCTCCTACTCCAGTGGTGGTTTTCAAAGTGGGAAGGAGAGATGGTAGTTCCTTCCGGTTCTGGTGCCCCACCCCTCCAGGAAGAAGACCCATCACCCACCCCTCTCATGCTTCTCAATCCTGCCTGCACATGAGAATCCCAGGAGCTCTAACAACACGTTCATGCCAGGCCCACCGCAGCCATCGGATCAGAGTCCCTGGGCTGTGACCCCCTATTTCTAAAGAGCTCCCCGTGTGATTCCAAGCAGTAGCCCAGGCTGTGTGAATTCTTGAGCTAATAGAACCAGCTAACCTGTTAAATAAATGATAGTACTATTGTTTCTTTAAGCCTACCTTCTCTCCTTTGCTAGGTTATATTCACCTCCAGATCTCTCCCCCCAACACACACCCTGTCAGCTCTTATATAAGGGATATAAAGGCAGGGAACCAGATATCTTAGCACTTGATTTCTGCCGGGTAGCTTTTATACCCACTCTTATTTCATCCTCACAACAGCCCTACATGGTTGGTGTTCTGATCCCCATTTACAGGTGATAAAACAAAACCAGAGAGAGAAGTCACCCACCCAGGGTCACAGTGAATAATAGAGGAGCAAGGATTGAACCCCATTCCAAAGTCATAAGGTGTCCCAGGGCCTGGAGCAGACATGCCCAAGTCAGCAGCAGGTCCTTCAGCTCTGTCCTGAACCTCATCCCTTCAGAGAAGGACCCCAAGTTAAATCCCCAGACAACAACCCATCCCCCATCTTGCCTTGATTTGCTGTTTGTTCTTTTCCAGGTCCACAGAGTTGTCATCCAGGGAGTTGAGGCTATGGGGGAGATGATGGAATTCAGTTAGTTGGCCAGCTCAGTCCTCCTTGTCTATGGTCAGGAACCACCACTGCCTATACCACCTTCTCTAGCACACCACCACCACCACCATCATCACCACCACCACCATCACCACCACCTCCTCTACCACCATCACAATCACCACTACCACCTCTATCACCACTACCATCATCATCACTCCCATCTTCACCACCATCACCACCACCACCAGCACCATCACTACAACCACCAACCAGCATGGCTGTAAGCAGCACTACTCACCTGAGATGGTCCAGGTCACTGGAGGAGGATTGGGACTCAAAGCCTAGGTCCTTGGTGGGGAGGTTCAGCATGGGATTGGCCCTGAAAAGAAGGCCTAGTCCAGCTGCCATGTGCCTCAGCCACCCCATGGGGCCTCTTACCCATCCTTCGAGCCCCACTCACCGCTCAGTAGTGTACATGTTAGTCCCAGGGATGGCAGAAGCTGAAGGCATCACCCCCGCTGCTGTTTTCCGGGCCTCCTTGGCAGCCTTTATAGCCCTAAGTTTCCGGTGGTAGCTGTGGGAAGTCAGGACAGGGGTCACTACCTACTGTGTGCCCAGTGCAGGCCGTGGGAATGTGACTTCACAACAACCTTGGCAGGTAAGAGTATTCACTCCATTTTGCAGAGTACAAGTAATAGCCAGAGAAAGGAAAGTGTTTGCCAAAGGCCACACAGTTGACTAGAGGCAAGGCCTAGAATCAAACCCAGTGTGGCTGCTGACTGCAAATATATTGGAAAAGAAAAAAGAAACAGCATTTATTAAATGCATTTTATGTGCCAGACATCTTGCTGGGCATGAGATGCACATTGCTTCCTTGAGGGCTTTGAGGAATCCAATGTCACGCCCATTCTGCAGATGAGAAAACTAAGACTCAGGGAGAGGAGGTGACCTACCCAAGATGTCACAACAGGTCAATGGGGATTGAATACAGATATACCTGACGCCTAAACCCAAGCT